AGGGTGTCAGAGAGAGAGATGTTGGGCGAGGGTGTCAGAGAGAGAGAGATTGGGCGAGCGTGTCAGAGAGAGAGATGTTGGGCGAGCGTGTCAGAGAGAGAGATGTTGGGCGAGCGTGTCAGAGAGAGAGAGAATGGGCGAACGTGTCAGAGAGAGAGAGAATGGGCGAGGGTGTCAGAGAGAGAGGGAAATTGGGCGAGGGTGTCAGAGAGAGAGACAGAGATCGGGCGATTCTGTCAGAGAGAGACACAGACAGTGAGAGTGTGTGCGATGAGTAATTTCTGAAACAGGAAGACCAGGACATTTGAGAGACATGGGGAAGGAGATGGTGAGAGAACAGAGATGTTTTGTTAATTTTCTGAGCTGCTTTGTATAATGTCCAGGTTCAGAATTGGCCAAGCTCGGTTTTTCCACATGGATTAGTTTAAAGAGCTGTGATTTTCTGATTTAAACTTTCAATAATATTATCTCTGGAAAAGAAAGGTTCTGAAATAACAACAGCTTTACATCTTTGTGCTTCTGACACAGGAGTGTGTCCCTCAATGATCGCTCTCTCTGACCCGCTCTCTATTCTGCTTCCTCCCAGAATCCAAATACAGTCTTCCTCTTCACCAGCCTCTGGATTCAACAAATCATACTGGCATGGTGGCTCAGTGGTTAGCACTGCTGCCTCACAGCGCCAGGGGCCCGGGTTCAATTCCACCCTCGGGTGACTGTCTGTGTGGAGTTTGCACGTTCTCCCCGTGTCGTGTGGGTTTCCTCCGGGTGCTCCGGTTTCCTCCCACAGTCCAAAGATGTGCAGGCTAGGTGGATTGGCCATGCTAAATTGCCCCATAGTGTTCAGGGATGTGTAGCTTAGGTGGGTTACAGGGGGGATGGGTCTGGGTGCAATGCTCTGAGGGTCAGTGTGGACTTGTTGGGCTGAAGGGCCTGTTTCCACACTGTGCAGGGATTCTATAAAAAAAACTACCCTGCCATTTCCATTGTCTCTCGTGTGATACCCAAACACATCTTTCCCTCTGCATGCCTTACAGCATCTCGAAAGGAGTGTTCCTTCCAAAGCACCTGGTCCACTCTTTAATCACCATTAAACCTACCCCGTTCTCAAGGCACCTTTACATGGCAGCTCAGGAGATGTAAAACTTACCCTTTTAACTCTACCTGACATTGTCTAAGCTCCCATCACTCCTTTCAAGTGAAATATTTACATTCTTCTTTCAATATGGTACATTACACTCCGTGCTCGCAGCACATGCAGACCGGACACAATGCAGACCTAAACACCGATGAGGTGACAACTTTACAGATGACCTCTGTTCACTCTGCAAGCATGACCCCAAGCTTCCAGTCACTCGCATTTTCATTCCCCACCTAATCTTTAAACTGGGCCCTTTGCAGCCATTTCAACTCAACACTGAATTTAACTATTCCAGATCAGGTGCTGCTAAATGAGGTGTCCTTTCCCCAGACGAACTACATGTGACTCCAAACCTGCAGCAACATGGCTGACTCCTACCTTCCAGTGAAACAGCTGAAGCTCCAATGATAATCCTCCCTACAGTGTCCATCACAGCCTCTCGGGATGGTCAGTCTGACCTGCCCACAGCCTGGGGACAACATTCCACTGAATCCTGGTGCTGGGAGGCAGCAGCAAAATCCAGGTGGATATTTTGGGAATAAAGAACAAGTAAAAGTAACAAAATCCTCTCTGTGATGTTTGGACATGTAACCCATTCAAAGTTAGAATGAAATATTAAAGAGAAAAACAAACAAACAGCCAGTTACTGAACATTTATTGTCAAACTGACTTTATAAAACAGACATCATGACAGTGAGATTAACAGAAAGTTTAAAACCCATTCTGGGGAAACCGCCCTCCAACTTTAATGAAACCATCCCTCTCATTGGTTTAATGATGAGACAAAGACGTTAATTGACAAAGTGACCAGTGAGAAACCCAAATTCTGTTTCTGATATAATTCCAACTTCTTCCCCAAATATTGAAACTCCTTTACGTAGAATTTTTAATTGATTCATACATGTATTTTTCTTTTTAATGATTCAATGATCTCGTTCTCAATGTTTCGTTATAAAATGGTTCAAACTTTCAGAAACTTGGGCCTGTGTGTTTGGCCGATATGTGGATCGATCACTGCTGCCAGTTTGGATTTTATTGAATAATTTGGATATTTGAAACTTCACTTTCTGCCATCTTACTCCCAAGGACAGCTGTTACCAAGAGTCCAACACATTCTCATCCCAACCTCACATCTTGTTCCCTGATAGCTGACCCTAACCCTCAACCCCGACCCATCCCAGCTGACCCTAACACACAATCCACAGCTTCCTATCATCACCCCCAACACCCATCCCCAAATACCCCCAAAGCCCATCACCCCAAATCCCCCCAACACCCACTCCCTGATAGAGGTCAGCACCCCCCAAAGCCGACCCCCCATCACCCCAAATCCCCCCAACACCCACTCCCTCACAGAGCCCAGCACCCCCAAAATCACCCAAAACCTATCAGCCCCCAACACCCCATCCAACAATCCCTTGACACCCACCCCCCAACATTTACCCCAACCCCCACAAACCAAGACTCCCGACGACCAACCCTGACATATCTGAGTCCACTGTTTCTTGAACATTGAGCCTCCCTGTTCTCCCTGTGTCCCAATTCTGTGACTGAACCCAAGACTGGGTGGGTGGGGGAGGGGTTTGTCACTGTGAGGGTAGCAGCTCCTCTCATCTGAGAATACTGGGGTTTCCCCTTGTTCTCCCCAGCCCTGCCCTATTCCGGTGCTGGTTTTACCCCTTCACTCCTAATTCCTCAGACCCCAGATCAAATCGGAGTTTATTCCATTATCAGTTCTGTGTGTGGTGGAGTTTAGAGAATTGGTCATGGGGACATGTTAAAGGTCATTGGGTGGGTCAGGAGTGACTCAATTACCAGGATCTTATTGCAAGTCATTGTGATTGTTTCTGTCGTTGATGGTTTTCTCGCTAAATGTGATTCCTCACCTGGTCCCTCTGAGGAACACAGACACCAAGTGACCTGTCCCATCTCCCATATCAGACCCACACATTTCAGTACAAATGGTCCAGACAACTAGCTTAGCTTAAACACCCAGCTTTACCCAGTGACCAGTTTAACCCAACTGACTAATCCTAATTGCTTGATCTGTCTGGGATCAGTGCTCCATGCTGGTTAGTCAGTGGCTGTTTTTGGGACATTGCTCCTTGTTGGATGGTCTCAGATAATTGAACACCAGCCTTTTGGCCCATTGTCACTGACAATTCCCAATCCCTCGGCTAACACAGCCTCAGCACTAGCCCCGAGATTAACTCGAGTATCTGTGTTTCTCTCACTGACCCCTGGTAAACAATCAGCTCAAACAAGCTGGAAGCACTGACTTGTTGACCCAATCAGATCCACCCGCTAACCAATCAGAACTGCTCTTGTGTTATTTTGATCCAATGAGAAGAGGTTTTTTCCCTTGTGATGTTTCTGAACAATGAATTATTTTATTAAACTGTAATAAGACCCTTGGAGTAAGCGGTATTAATTATACAAGACATACAGGTTAATAAGAGCCTGAGCGAGGGATTGTGATGCTCCATCAGATGAGGCTATTGGAATCTGCCAGGTCAGAGGTCACAGGTCCTCCATGTAGATGAAGCAAGGTTTGACCATCTCAATGGTTTGTAGCCAAACACTGGATGTGAAACGTCTGTTGCTCCGCCCAGGATTGTAGCTCAGTGTGGTCCTGAAAATGTTCTTTGCATGTTTCGGGAAAATGATGGTTGTGCTCTCAAATCGAAGAGGTTTCTGCTGAGGCTCGAACCAAAGCTGTGATTTATAATTCCTCCAAGTGCAGTTGGGAGCGGTGATGATGGTTTCGGTGTAGGAGGTGATGGTTGGAACGGTTTCATAATAGACACAGTCCCGGTAGTGTTTCTCGGAGTCATTCTTCACAACAGAGTGACAGCTGTAACCACGACAACCCAAAAGTTAACCTGCTCCCTCAGTGCCAGCCATCTTCCTGCAAACTCCCAGCACCCAGGCACTAACCTCATCACAACTGTGCAGGCTGCCTCTACCCAACCTGTCCCCACACTTTAATGGAAAATACAACGAGAGGCCAAACAAAGCATAAGACCATGAGATATCAGAGTAAAATGAGGCCATTCAGCCCATTGAGTCTGCTCCACCATTCCATTGCGGCTAGTTTACATCTAGTTACATCTGGCCACAAGCGGAGTTGTAATCCCTTGAGCTTTATAACAAAGTTATAAAGTGATTTGTTCAAAGTTTTCAAGAAGTTTTGGTCAATTTTGTTAGAATTTGATAAAATGCTATAAAACAAGCCAATCAGCAAAGAGACAACCCATGGAATACAAGAGAGAGTGACAAGTAACCGAGAGTGAGGGGTATTTGTGATATTTTCACATTCTGAGTCACTCTGCTGTCATATATTAACTCCTCCTGCATCTAATCCTTACAAGATAGGAGCTGAAGTAGACCATTCAGCCCATCGAGTCCATTCTGCCATTCAGTGAGATCATGGCTGGTCTGATAATCGTCAGCTCCACTTTCCCACTCTTTCCCCATAACCCTCAATCCTCTTACTGATTAACAATCCATCTCCCTCAGCCTTGAAGATACTTAATGACCCAGCCTCGATAGCCCTCTGAAATTCCTCCTCATCTCTGTTCTAAATGACCTTTTACTCTGAGGTGATGCCGTCTGGTTCTTCACTCTCCCACAAGGGGAAAACAACGTTTCTGCATCTACCGTGTCAAGTCCCCAAAGAACTTTGTATGTTTCAATAAGGTCACCACTCATTGTCCTAAACAGGCCCAATCTACTCAACCTCTCCTCATACGTTAGTCCCTTCAGATCAGGGATCAATCCAGTGAACACTCTCTGGATTGTCTCCAATTCCGAGATATCTTTCCTTAGGTGAAGAGACCAAACTCTTAACGGTATTCCAGTCGTGATCAGACTAGTTAGTGCCTTTTTCCTTTTTAGCAAAACCTTCCTATTTTTATATTCCATTCCCTTTGAAATAAAGGCCAACATTCCATTTGTCTTCCCTATTCCCTGCTGAAGTTGGATCTAGTTTTTTGTGGATGAGGACATCCAAATCATTTCTGCAGTCTTTCCCTATTTAAGTAATTCAGCCCCTCTGTTCTTCCTGACAAAGTGCAGAACCTCGCATTTCCTCCCACACTAATCCCACTCCCTTTAATACCCCACACAGTCTAATCCCATTCTCCCCCTCACTCCCCGCTCCCTTTAATATCCCACCCAGTCCAATCCCACTCTGCCCCTCACTCCCTGCACCCTTTAATATCCCACCCAGTCTTTTCCCACTCTCCCCCTCACTCCCCGCTCCCTTTAATATCCCACCCAGTCTAATCCCACTCCCTCTCACCAGATTTTGACAATCCTTACCGGATCTCCTGTGCTGATTCGCAGTTGACCTCGATTCTCTCACCGAAGGACACGGGCTGCATTCTGCGCCTCGGATCAATTAGGGGTGAGGTCAGGGTGATGTATGGAATCTGAAAACAAACAGAATCTATTTGCTCCGAACGGTGAAATCACCTACAAACGTCAACCCCACCCCGCACCAGGTTATTCCGGCCCGAGCTCTCAGCTTGACAAATCCAGCAACCCAAGGAATCTCCTGATGTCCTGTCATGGCCACTGGTGCAATTTAAATTCAATTTTAAAAATCTGGAGTTAAGAGTCTAATGATGATAACGATGATAAATCCATTGCCAGGAAAAACCCACCTGGTTCATTCATGTCCTTTAGGGAAGGAAACTGCCATCCTTACCTGGTCTGTCTTACATGTGACTCCAAAGTGGTTGACTCTAATTGCTCTATGGATAACTGGCCAGTCTCGCTGTCTTCCCGTAATTATATTTTTAAAAAGGACTGGAATGTGAGTGAGACATAAAAATAATGGAAGAGGGGAAACATGTCCAGTGATTAGAATCGGAGTCAAAAGCCAACTAGAATATAGTTACTTTGCTTCAATGGGAAAGGAATCGCAAATTTACTTGGAAAATAAGCATCGAAAAATAGAATCAGCAGTTTCTGTCAAATTGCTGTAATTGGTGATGCCAATGAACAAAGTCATAAAAATAATAAAACAAGTGGGAGGCTCAATTTCCACAGGGATAACGTTAATCATTCAGTAAACTAGGACCAACTTGTATCAAGTCTTGGTCAGGCAATACACAAAGTCTGCTCATTGATTTATAGAAAAGATGTAGAGACACTGGAGAAGGTGCAGAAAAAAGCATCAGCCAAACGATGCCCAAACAAAAAGCTTATCACAATGTGGGAAAGATTAAACAGGGTGGTGGATATTTCTCTCAGAAAGAGATCCAGAAACACACTGTAGTTAGAAATGTAAACTGTAAATTAATACACGGCTTCTTTGAGCCATCAAGTTTAGAGAGCGTTGGGAGTGAGTTATAAAATTCCCCATGACATTCCCATTATCCTGATGCAGTGGTTCCTACCTTATCAGGGAATATTGCTGTGGAGTTGTTTATAGACGGAATTGTTTGGTGCTCCGTTGAGTTTGATCCAGTCGGAACCATCGCATCCGACAGTCATTCCACTGGGAAATGACCGACTCACTCCTGAGAAATGGATCAGGATCTGACAGGGAATTCTCCCCTTCTAGTCACTGTGTGATCTGTGCACAAATCAGATTCTCTTTGGGAGACTGAGTGGAGCCACTGTGTAAGAGACTCAAGATGGAGAGAGTGAGAGCCACAGGGGGAGATAAATAAAGACAGAATGGGAAAAGAGTGAGGGAGAATAGAGAGAGGGTGATGGGGGAATAAAGAAGGAAGGAAATACAGGAAGAGTGTGAATGAGGAGATGATGAAAGAATCAGAGAGAGGATGGAGTGAGTGATAGGATGGAGAGTGAGAGGGAGAGCATGGGATAAGCTGCATTTCCTCTGAGAACTGGCCAGTCTTTGACATTTATAAAGGAGAACAATTCATCATCAGGCCTGGGAGAATTCAAATTAAAACCAAGGGAATTTCCTCATTAATTCAAGCTGGCTCCAGTTACAACTTTAACTTTCCAGTTGTCTTTCCAGTTTTTTTTCCAGACATTAACGTGATTGCTAATGTTTCTGTTGTTGCAGAATATTCTGTTTTTACAGTCTGACCTCTCTTTTTGTCCTAAATCAGTAAATTGAGGGATTGACAGTGACTAAAGCTATCCCAATTTTGAAACATCAGCATTCTTTCCCATTACTTTTGTTACAAAGAAAAATCTCTCAGAAATCTAATTGTCCCATTTGAGATTGCATTTCAGGAGGCTCCTCTGATAAACAACACAAGATTCTGATGTGACATCACTGGAATTTGTTGTCACAATGAGCAACAGAAACTCAGCATAAACTTCCAATTGGTTCCAGGTAACTTCCTGGCAAACTTCACATTATTTCCCCTCACAGGAAATCAAGCCCCACTGTTCCTGAGTTGTCAGAAAAGTTAAAGCTTTTATAAAGTACACCAAATTCCCCGATTTCCCTCTTTTTGACCCAGGTTGACAGAAAGCACAGACTAGGTTTCTATACTTAGTGAGAATTACTATTTTTTTACAACTAAATAAATTCTAGCTACAGATAAACGATTGAATTGTCAGCATAGAACTCTACTAGTTAAATCTTTAACCCCCTTATAAAACTCCCTTCACTCATGCATACAGATACAAAATGAATGGGTGTTATGGACAGAGGGAAGGACCGAGAATGGTCTCTGTCCCAGGGGTTTGCTGAGATGATCCTTTAAGTTTATCACGGCCTGCTGTTCTTCAATCTTCCTTCTCCAGGTACTTTTACTTGCTTAGAGAAAGCACAGAGTAACTGGTACTCAATCTATAAAGTCCCTGACAGCTTACACAACTGATGAGGTGAAATATATTGGCTGTCATTAGGCTTGTGGTATTTGTTACTGCAGAAGAAAGGACAACACCTTCATTTCTAGAAGTCCTATGGCTTCTGATTAAATATTCACACCCACAAGCTGTTCGACTACATGGGAGCCAATCACATTGTTGTTGAGAGGCAGAGGCCCTTTGACATCAATAACTGGTCACCTTCCACAGACCAATCAGCTACTTGTTGCCAGCTGAATTTCCCTTTCTACATGGTCCCTGACTCCAGCCCGTCTGTAGCCTTTCCACCCACTGCTTGAAGAAGCAGCAGTGTAAACAGCACTTATAATGAGAGTCAGGTAAGCTGGTTATAAAAAATGCAGCAATCCCTTCAATAGTTCTTGGTTTTGAAAACAGCGCTTTTCCAATTTTATTCCACAATCAAAAACAGCAGAGATTTAAAAGGATACAGTCTTCACATCATATTTACATTTATGCTGCATGAACCAATTAATAAGGTCAGGATTACAGCAAAAGATGTTCAATAATCTTGTTCAGCTCTCAGCCAGTCTGATCCACACTGCTGTGATCTCCACGCCAGGTAGGGCGAGGAAACAGATACCGAATCCCACCCAGATAGAAGGGTAATCAGTCTGATCTATACCACCCATTGAGCCAACCTGACCCATTCCCCACCGCGCCCCCCCGCCCCACCCAAAGATTCAGAGCAGCCAGGGCAACTTGCCCCTTTATGTATCTGTAGTGTGAAGCTCTGAGCAGTAATGGGAGAGGATCCCATTTTTCTTTTCATCTCATAGTTGCTCAGGAATCTCTCCTGCTCTTACCACCTGCCTTTGGCCTGTGTTGGAAGTATTTTCAATTTTAGACTCAGCCAGCCCTGGTTATGAACAACAAGGTGCAGGGCTGGATGAACACAGCAGGCCAAGCAGCATCATAGGAGCAGAGAGGCTGACGTTTCGGGCCTAGACCCTTCATCAGAAAAGGGGGAGGGGAAGGGGGTTCCGAAATAAATAGGGAGAGAGTGGGAGGCGGATAGAAGATGGATAGAGGAGAGGATAGGTGGAGAGGAAACAAACAGGTTGAAGAGGCGGGGATGGAGCCAGTAAAGGTGAGTGTAGGTAGGGAGTTAGGAAGGGGATAGGTCAGTCCAGGGAGGACGGACAGTCAAGGGGGCGGGATGAGGTTGAACCAGTTGATGAGAAACATTGCCCACTGCATGAAAGCATTAAAAAGACAAGGCCATTTGCAAAGAAAATAGCTCCATCAAAAACATCAAAGCGAGGGGGAGCCATCACTCTCTGCAATAAACAGTAAGAGGTAGCTGGAGCCCAAATCCTGGAGTGGGACATGAACCCAAAGCTTCTGGTTCAGAGGTAGGGGCACTACCCGCTGCTGTGTACGAGCTCCAGTGCACACTTGCACTCAACACTGGCTGTCTGCATTACTGCTGAAACACTACAGCCTGATGCAGTTTTGTGGCCAGGTCACAATAACTCACATCGAGCAAGCTTGTTGGAGGAACAGTGTGGGACATTACTGATCTGTGTGTGCTGCAGGAACCAGCATCACCAAAAACAGGCACACGGAGGAATTGGGAACAGAAGGGTTCACAGATCAAGGAGCTATGCCCATGGTACAACCTCATGTTGATGTTAATGCTGGCCCCATGGACACACGCTGATTTCACAGTCTCCTTTATAATGCCAACAAACTGCACACGTCTCTCTAACTGGATCCGATTCTGCTGCTCTCCCTCATCTCGTTTGGGAAAGGATCTTCAGATTAAATGCCCTTTAGTAAATCCTGATGTGTAACAGTTGCTCAGAAACCTCAGAATAACCCATAATCCCCAACAATGAAAACAACATAGAATCAACATCAAGCACAAAATGGGAAACTAAAGTGGAATGGGGTCTGTCACATGACAATGTGTAGGGGAGGGGTTTAATGAGTTAAAGCTGAGGCATGTGACCATCAGACACATACCCACCTTATACTTTGCCCATTGGGCAATATTGGGACAAATGTGGCTTCACCAGAAATGTATTGGAATGGGCCTCCCGCTGTGTTCTCAGGGAACACTATGATTGGAAGTTCCTGGTGGCCATGTGGCTTCTGAGGTTTTGGAATTGCCTGCCGCATGAGGGGGAGGTGGCAGCTGTCATCTTCCGAATCACCTTCCTCCAGCACTCCTTGTGGGTCAAGGGGGGCAGGAATGTTCCTCAATCCAGAACTGTCAGGCAAGTCTCCAGCCCCAACCCCTCTTTCCATCCTTCCTTTCCCAGCCCAGGATCACACCTCCACCCCATCATAACCGCCCTCACTCTCTCTGCCTGCTTGTTCATGCTGGTTTGTTTGATCAGGTTTTCTCTGTGAGAACTGATGCTATTTATACGCAGACAAGAACTTTTCCCATCTCCCCACCTTACTACTTTGTTGGCAGTTCTCAATATTGTTAAGAGTTCACTCTAACTATAGAATGACATCCACACTGCTCAGGAAAGCCAGCTCTCAATGAATAGCCGGCTGTGTTTCCAAACCAACCTGAGGAAAGTTTTGCTATTGAATGTACAGGTCAGAGGTCAGAGACAGTGAAGAGATTTCCTGGGATCTATCTGGATCTCTCTCACCAAGTGAATGAGAGACTGAATCTCCAGGATTGAGTTCAACACCAATGCACTAACTCCACCAAGCACCAACAATTATCATCATCAACACTTCAATCCCTGCCGTTGCCCAACAAAACCAGAAACCATCAACTCTCACTTGTCCAGATTCCATGATAGTATCAGACATCCAACCATAGAAAGTACACACTGCTGTGACTGAGTGTCAGTGGTGGAGGGAGTGGATGTTTGTGGATGTGGTGCCAATCAAGCGGGGTCTGCTTTGTCCTGGATGGTGTTAAGCTTCTTGAGTGTTGTTGGGGCTGCACTCATCCAGGCAAGTGGGGAGTATTCCATCACACTCCAGACTTGTGCCTTGTAGATGGTGGGACAGGTTTTGGGGAGTCAGGAGGTGAGTTACTCACTGCAGTATTTTTAAAAATTCCTTCACAGGATGTAGGCATTGCCAGGTAGGCAGCATTTATTGCTCATCCCTAATTGTCAACCACATTGCTGTGGATCTGGAGTCACTTGTAAGCCAGACCAGGTAAGGATGGCAGTTTCCCTTCCTAAAGGATATTAGTGAACCAGATGGGTTTTCCCAACAATCAACAATGGATTCACGGTCATCATTAAACTCTTAATTCCACATTTTTATTGATTTCAAAATTCCACCATCTGTCATGGCAGGATTCAAACTGGGGTCCCTAGAACATTACCTGGGTCTCTGGATTAACAGTCCAGCAATAATACCACTAGATCATTACCTCCCACTAGTATTTCTAGCTTCAGACCTGCTCTTGTAGACACGGTATTCATGTGGTAAGTCCAGTTGAGTTTCTGGTCAATGGTAACCCCAAGGATGTTGATAGTGGGGGATTCAGTGATGGTAACACCATTGAATGTCAAGGGACAGTGGTTAGATTCTCTCTCATTGGTGATGGTCATAGCCTGGCATCTGTGTGGCACGAATGTCACTTGCCACTTGTCAGCCCAAGCCTGGATATTGTCCAGATCTTGCTGTATTTCAACATGGATTGCTTTAGTTTCTAACGAATCACAAATGGAGCTGAACTTTGTGTAATCACCTGACCTTATTGATGGGAGGGAAGGTCAATGATGAAGCAGCTGAAGATGGTTGGGTATAGGACACTACCCTGAGGAACTCCTGCAGAGATGTCCTGGAGCTGGGATGATTGACCTCCCACAACCACAACCATCTTCCTATGTGCCAGGTATGACTCCAACCACTGGAGAGTTTGCCCCCTGACACCCATTGATTCCAGTTTTGCCAGGGCTCCTTGATGCCACACTCGGTCAAATGCAGCCTTGATATCAAGGGCTGTCATTCTCACCTCATCTCTGCAATTCAGCTCTTTTCCACATGTTTGAACCAAGGCTGGAATGAGATCAGGAGCTGAGTGACCCTGGCGGAACCCAAACTGGGCATCACCGAGCAGGTTATTGCTGAGCAGGTGCTGCTTGATAGCACTGTTGATGATACCTTCCCTTTGCAGTATCCAGTGTCTCCAACTGCTTCTTGATATCACGTGGAGTGAACTGAATTGGCTGAAGACTGGTATCTGTGATGCTGGGGACCACTGGAGGAGGCCGAGATGGATCATCCATTCGGTACTTCTGGCCGAGGATTGCTGCGAATGCTTCAGCCTTATCTTTTGCACTGATGTGCTGGGCCCTTCCATCATTGAGGATGGAGATATTTGTGGAGCCTCCTCCTCCAGTGAGTTGTTTAATTATCCACCACCATTTACGACTGGATGTGGCAGGACTGCAGAGCTTAGATCTGATCATAAGAACATAATAAAGAAGAGCAGAAATTTGGCCATTCAGCCCATCGAGTCTACTCTGCCATTCAATCATGGCTGATAAGTTCCCCTGTTAGTTTTGGGATCGCTAAGCTCTGTCTTTGCCTTGCTGCTTATGTTTAGTATGTAAGTAGCCCTGTCTTGTAGGTGCGCATCATTTTTAGGGATGCCTGGTGCTGTTCCTGGCATACCCTCATGGACCTTTCATTGACTCCCTCAGCATTGAAAATCCCATGCAGCCTGATCCCACTCTCCCACCCCTCCCACATTTAAACAATCTCTCATTGTTAATTCTCAAATCATCAAACACACCTTTCCGTGGCGAGGTGAACAATAAACCTGACCAGATGTCACCATGGAGACCAGTCAGTGCTGACCCCGTGTGATTACACTGAGACTGGGCTTCTCTCACTCTCTTAGTTAATACCATGTCACCAATCAGCTGGTGTCTGCAGAAACCTGCTTAAGCAACAGTATGACTGGTTCTAACCCAAATGGAAAATGGGGAGACACTCTCAGAGTCAGAACTGATATTTATCCATGCTTGTTCCTGGAATTCAACTGGCTTTACCTGAACATTAACCAGCCCTATCCCTGCGCTTTAACCAGCCCTAACCCTGCAGTATAACCAGTCCTATCCCTGCGGTATTACCAGCCCTAACCCTGCGGTATAACCAACCCTATCCCTGCGGTATAACCAGCCCTAACCCTGCGGTATAACCAGTCTATCCCTGCGGTATAACCAGTCCTAACCCTGCGGTATTACCAGCCCTATCCCTGCAGTATTACCAGCCCTATCCCTGCGGTATAACAAGCCCTATCCCTGCGGTATTACCAGCCCTATCCCTGCGGTATAACAAGCC